ACCAAATCCAAAAAAAAACATGAACCCTATACAGATTGATATGAAGATTTTGAAAGGTCAACGGTTTTCTTCTTTTTTTTTTTTTTTTGGTTAACAACAAAAAAATCTTTTTAAAAAAACGATTAATGAACTATGTAGCCTATGGCAGCTAGAATGTATGATGATAATAATAAATGTATGGAATGTGTACGGTTAAATAACCGATATACATCTTCTTTTAGTGTGCAGAGAGAAAAAAAAATTCGTAATGAATAATGAAAAAAAACAGGATTTGATTTGATAAAATCACCATCATGAACATCATCATTATCATTATTTTTTACTTAGGTTAAATAGATAAAACTATTTTTGTAAAATAGATAAATGTAGTTAGGTAGTATAAGAAGGGTCAACATAATTCATCAACATCAACTATTTAAAAAAAAAACAGGAATTAGTTGGGAAAAAAAAGATATGAAGATCAAGTGAAGAAAAAAAATGGGAACCAAATAACAAACAAGTTGTTGCCGGACGACGACGACAACGACAACAATTGATGAAATCACATCATTGACAATTCATCATTAGTAATTTCAATTGAATTTTTTGAATATTGTTGTTGTTTGATCACGAATTTAAATGTTTTTTATTGAATAAATCAAATTTATCATCAACAACAACAATTTGACAATCGAATGACCGAAGGTCATCATCATCAACGTATGAAGAAATGAAAAAAAAATTATCTCAAAAAAATGGTCAAAACGTTTAAGTTTGAAACTATTTTTACATTGTGCAGTTTTAGTAATTTTTCGCCTCGAAAACAGAAAAAGATGTCAATGATGAAATCTGACCGCAATGAAATGATATTCAATTATGAATTTAAATTCATTATCATTATCATTTATTATGAACACAATGAAACATGTATCATTTGTGAAAGGGGGCAAATAAAGTATCATAATGATTCTAAATTTAATATTGTGCAACAAATTCAACAAGCACACAGACACTTATGTTATGACAATTTTAAATAATTTAGAAGAAGAAAAAACCGTTATATTTACCTGTGAATGTTGATAATTATGTTGTTATTTTCGTTGTTCAAATTATAAAAAAAAACTTTATTATGAAACAAACAGGTGATTGGCCGAGAATAACAACACTTTAATAATTGCAAAAAAAGGAAAAAAATTTTATATTAATACATCACATCACATACAAGGATTGATGATTATGTAAATCACAAATTTGAAAACACACAAAAAAAAAATTTAATAATGAAAAAAAAAACAACAACTAAAAACAGAAGTAAATTTATGACAATTTGGGCAGAAATAAACGAGAGATAGAGAAAAGCTCGAAAAAAAGGCTTGAAATGTTCGGCTTTATTCGGATGATAAACGAGAAACACAATAGAGGTCAATGCTAAAATGATAATTATATGATAATTGTATAATGTAATTATTTATTTATTTATAATGGATGTGTGTTATATGAATATTGCTGCCAGCCATTTTTGTTGTTGTTGTTGTTGTTGTAGATAAAAATATCATTTTAAATTCATTAAAAAGCGTTCCATGGTAACCACCTAGAGATGCATAGAGAGAGAGATTTCTTTTTGACATACAAACCATGTGGTGTGATTATCATTACATTTTCAATTACATTTGTTTAATGTAATAATAATTATCACCCCAAAACAATAAACAAAATTTAAAACAATAAAATTACACATTTTTTTCGAACCAGAACAAACACCAAAAAGAACAACCGCATCTAAACGGAAAAATAATAATAATAACAAAAACAACAACAGGTGATCTTCATCATATATCAGACAGTCAGTGGCCTTTAGCATAAACAAAGTAAAAAAACCAGCCAACTTGTTGTTGTTGCTTCAGTCAAATCATTAGGTTTGATAGTGTCTAAGGCCCAGAACCACACTGCGCCAAACACATACACCATTGAACACAAACAACACAAGCTAATTTGCAGCAGAATAATCAAATTGAAGAACAACAAGATTTTCGTTGATGATAATAATAACTGATGAATAACGTCAAATTGGTGAATTGATAATTAGTGAATTTTTTTCCAATCAAATAATGAAATTCTTCATTATATAAATGAATGATAATCATTAAAGATGCCTGAGAAAAAAATTATGCTTATGATACACACATAAACAAATTACAGAAAAAAAATGCAATACGACGGAGAATTTCAATCTTTCAATGTTTTTTTTATATGATGAAGAAAATGATTTTAATGAATTTAAATCTTCGAAACAACAAAACAAAAAAAAAGTAATGAATTGATGATATTCGTATGTAATATGTGGTAAATGTGCGTACAATATATAATACGGACGAATACGTCCGTCATTGACAAACAGACGACGACAACTAAACAACAGAATGAATAAAAAATTTTCAAAATCAATGATCGAATGGATCGAAAACAAGAAAGAAAGAAAGAAAAGAGAAGAGAAAATGGTTGGAACTTCATATATAAATCCAATGTGGATAAAAAAGAAGCCAAACAACAACAACAAGATAGCACACACAGTAAACACATCGATGGTAAAGAATTATATATATTTATTTAACATGGAAATGGTTTTTGGAGAAAATAAGCAAGTTATATGTGTGTTTGTTTGAACAGGAGAAAGAGAGAGAGAGAAACAAAAAAAAAATAACATCAAAAAACCACACATATACATGAAAAAGACAGGAAAGACAAGATCCAATAGCGCAAATGCTATTCTTTTTTTTCCATACAGTGTACCAAACCAATAACGAAAAGATCCATGCAACCAATGGAAAATAAATATTATTTTTTTTTTTTTTTTTGAAAAAAAAGATGAGAGGAAAAAATATTTGCAAATGAATGCAAACCATGGCCATAAATTTGTATAATAATGTTT